GTGTAAAGAAAACAAAGAAAATTCTACCTGTAGTTTATTTTTAGCTTGGCTGGGACACAACAGCAAAGGGAGTGATGTGATTTTTCTGGCTGGCATGTTGCTGTGCATCATGATCTGGCTTCAGAGGAACTTCCTCCGGTGCCAACGTGGCAGGAGGTGGGAGGTGAGTGGGGCTTGGTTACCCGTGTCTGTGCATTTGCTGTTCTGCCCCACTGCTGTAAAATAATAATCACAGCCCTGGGAGGTTATAAAACAGCATGCTTGGGGTTGTGCTGTGCCCAGAGCACAGCGTGGGGCCCCTGAGGCAGAGGAGCAATGTGGTCAGTCCCCATGACCAAAAACCACATCTGAGAAAGCCCCAGCTGCCGTGACCTGCCGCACTGGGTTTCATTCATTCTTGTAAAGATTCCAACACCCTGCCAGGCCTTGGATTGTGCAAAGAATGCAGCCCCCTGCCAGGGCCAGGTAAATGCAGTGCCTGGGCAGAGCAAAAAGTGACTGCTGTGTTTAATGTGTGCTGTGTACTTAACCTCACACCTTTCCCCCCTGCCCTGACCCTGCTGTTGTGCATGTGCTGACAGGGCACTGAGCACAAGGGCATCCCTGGTGAGCCACATCCCAGCTCGGGCCCCCCTCTCTCTCCTCTGACAGATGAAGGGATGATGAGCTGCTGTGCCATCCAAAACTCTGTGCTTGTGCTGGTAAAATTGGAGAGGAAACCATGCCTCACAGGCTGCTGGGATTTGTGGTGGCCCGTTCATTTGCAGGCAGGATCCTAACTCAGAGTGTGGTATTGCTTTCTCCCATGGGAGGCAATTCAGTCACACAGAATTTTCCAGCCAAAAAGATGGGATCTGCCTGTTTTAGCTTGGGCTGTGTGTAGACTTGCTTCTATAACATCTGCAACTGAGATCTGAGACAATTGAACCTGCCTAATTGTTGCCGTGTGTATGTGCTGTGTGTGTGCCAGCCTGGATTATACATCCTCCCTTCTCCTTGCTTCTGCTGCCTGGGGTGTGCTGTTTCTGCCACAGTTAAATGTGTCATATTTTTATTGAATAGCAACGTCCCAACTGAAGAGATAAATACAACACAGGCATAATGAATCATGGGCTCCATGGACTTGCTCAGCTCCCGGATGCTGGAGCAGGCCAAGGGATGAAACACCATGGTTTTCTTGTTTTCTTCACTTCACTCTTGTTTTCTTCACTTTTGCCTGCAAAGTGCACCCACAGGAATTCAGAAAACAATACTCATCCTGCCTGTGCAAGAATCCAAGCATCCTAAACGGGCCAGGAGGAAAAGCATGTGCAGGGGACAAGAGGGCCAAGTGACATAGCTCTCCTCTCTGCTCAACATCCCTCTCTGAGGAGGGGTCTGGCTGCTGCTGCTGCATGGGGAGCCTGGCCAGAGGCTAGAGGGCACTGATCTTACAAAAAAAATCCTTGGTCAGGCTGAACATGAGCCTCTAACGACACTCCCGCTATGAGAAGAATAAATGAAATGAAGAATACAAACAGAAGTGCACTTGTGCACACAGTGCAAGCCTTTCCCTCTGCTCAGGGCAGGGCAGGCTTCAGGACAGATGTCAAAAGATAAAGCCTGACTGGGGAAGGAGCAGAGATGGGCAGCAAGGAAGAGTGGAGGACTTGGAAACATGACCTAACAGACTGTTAGTCTGAACGTGGCTATCCAGAGTAAGGCAGTAAATCGGTCTCCCACTGGGGATAGGGGAAAATTACAATAATATTTTTGAAAAGACATTGAAAGAAACTTTCCACTTGCAAGATAAATAAGGACTGGAAAAGATACAGGCATATCTCCACCAACAGATGTTTTTAAGACCAGGTTAGACAAACTTCTGTCAAGAATGCAGGTTTTGGCAGCAAGGAAGGACAATGCATGGTGTTAAGATAAATTTTAGTATTTTTTTGTTAGCTGATTTCACTGTGCAGAAGCTAGAAGCTTCTGGAGAAAAATTCTGCCTTTGCACAGGGTGAAGGTATTTGTGCACATCCCAAACACAGTGGGACTTCCCTGCAACTGCTCTGCCCAGCATGTGTGGTTTCCCTTCAGTTCAAGGACAGTCAGGTCAGGCAATCAGGGAGATGGCAAATATTTATCATAAAGCTATTAGAGTTTTAAGCAAAGCGCTAAGAAATTGAAGATGCATCAAAATATTTTTTCATGTAAAAGCCACTCAAATGCACCTTTACAGGCCTCTCAGTAAAGGAAGGAGTCTTTGAGGAAGATTCCATTTAAATGTCCCATAAAAGCATTATCTATTGTTCTCAACCTTCTAATATTAGCAGGCCCAGAGCATAAATATTAATCACTTCACTGAGCAGCAGAGTGCTGCTCTGTGATGTTTCTAGCACTGCAGAGGTAAGTGTGCCCCCTCCCCACTGATTCAGTCATGACTGGAAGTCACACACACGGAGCCCAGAAAATCAGTAGTGCTGGGACACAGCAGCAGCAGCTGGGGGGTGGTACAGGAATCCCTGAGCTGGCCTGGGATGTGGCTGGGACAGGACAAGAGCATGCTTGGACAAGAGCCACCTTTATATGCTGTTCTGTTTCTGACTCTGCCCGTCTCTTTAGAGTGACAAATCAAGAGGGGTGACTGATTCCCTGCACTTTTCCCTGAACTGCTCATTCTGCAGCATAGGAAAAAATTACTTGGACGAAGATGCTGATGCCAGCTTTGTTCTCCAGAAAGAAGCTCTGCTGGAAGGTAGGAGTCATAAGCCTAAAAAAGCCAGCACAGCTCAGCACAGCCCTCTGGAATTTGGATGCTCTGCCTCACTCCCCATGTGGTCTCCTGTTGCTGCTTGCCTGGAGGCATGGCAAGGTGAGTGGGTGAGGTTCACCCCCAGAGGCTCCTGGGCTCCAGCACGTTGCTACATTGCTTTCAGTTATATGCAGATTTTGTAAGAGTTTCCAAAGGTAGGGGAAGGGTTTTCTCCACCATGGGTGGTCCTGTTCATGTACCTTCATGGTCTGAAACGTTATTACAGAAAAAAGGGAGGGATGAGCAGTGTGTGTGTGTGTGTGTGTGTGTGTGTGTGTGTATGTGTGTGTGTGTGTGTTCTGGGGAAATGTTGCAGTGCTTTGGGGATTTCTGTACTATCTAGGCACGTGAAATTGTTAAATTATGCTTCTTCCTGCAAGCAGCACAGCACAAGGGGAATCTGGGATGGAGTCAGGGAGCAGTGAGAAGGGGACTTCTGTGAGAGGGGAATGGGTAGAGGGAAGAAGCAGAAAGGTGTTCCTAACCTGAAGCCCTGAAGGGAAGGGCAGGGGGCTTTTGTGCAGCTCCTTGCACTGACAGCAGGTACCTACCTCCACACAGTCTAAGTACAAAAGAACTGAGAAGATGCTGAGTGAAGGATCTCAGCTCAGGCTAAGACCTTTCTGAGCGAACATCCACATAAACATACCCCAATTAGTGGTAAGTGTGGGTTGGCCAGCTGCCCATCTCACTTATGTCCCTACTCAAGAGAGCCACAGGAACTCCTCTGCCTTCGGGTTCAGCACCATATATGTAAGGCTTAACTAGCTTTTAAAGGCCAGGAAGTGCCCTAAACCACTTTGCCTGTCCAGGAAAGTGTCTGCCTGCTGTGAACCCCCAGCCTCAGTGTTCATGCTCCAAGAGCAGCATTCTCAGCCAAGGGTTCTGAAGGGCACAGGTGTAAACCCATCCAAGACCCAAGTCCTGCACCTTGTCCAGGCAAGCAGGCTCTGCCTACCTGATTCTCCCAGGCAGTGCATCAAACTGCTTGCAGGGAACATCCCATCCAGCCCCTCTGCAGCCACGGAGAGGCACCAGGAGACATGAAAGCCACAATTCTCCCCTGTCAGCTCTCCCTTCAGCACCTGGCTCAGACTGGTACCAGCTGAAATGGGAGTACCTGGGGAGTGCATGGGGTTGCAATGTGAACCTGAACGCTGCAACAGCTCTGGGGTCAATTTAATTTCTGAGGGATTATTTTTGTAATACTTTATGTATCCTTGTTTCATGTTCTCTGATGTTGGAAGCCCTTGTGAAGACCTTGCTCCCTCTAGTCAGAGCAGAGAGGTACATTGTGCGACAGAACATCATCTGCAGCCAAGGTGGGAGTAATGCACAGTGAGATGCTGGTTTTGGACAGACTTGTAAGATATAACCCCACACCAGATGCTGACTCCTTTCAAGTATGAACTCCAGAAACAGTTTGCTTGCTCTTTTCAGTTAGCATTGGAAGCACAGCAGCCAGGATAGGCACAGTGGGACCGTGTCCTGCAGCCCCAATGGAGACTGGTGCTGATTAAAGCAGGGCGTTTGTTCTGGCTTGCATGGCTCAGAGTTTGAGCTTTTATGATCACAATAATCAGGTTGCCTTGCCTGGACCCTGATTAGTACATATCTTGGCAAAACGTATTGCACGCACTGATCCCTGCTTGTGCTTTTGTTCGATAAAGAAGCCAAAAGCAGTTTAAGGCTGCAGTCAGCTGTAGGCACAGTAGCCCTGTGCCCCATTTGCCCCGCTCTGGGCTGGGGGTGCAGGGGGTGCCCTGGAGGAGCCGCGGCCCCGAGGGCTCTCCCGGGCAGCACTGAAATAGCGCTGGGGGAAGCTGCCTGCAGCTCGCTAATGAACTATTGATGTATCTGCAGTGCATGCTCGAAACGAGCCCATGTGGCGGAGATCGGTGGCGGCTCTGCCCGTGTCCGTAACGGGGCACGATCGTTTTTTGTGCCTTTGCACACAGAGCTCGCCGAGGCAGCCGGCAGGGCCAAGGGCTGCCAGCGAGGGTGCCGCAGGGTGTGCGGCACTGTGTCCCGGCCGTGTGGGCACCGGGACACAGCACAGGGGCTGCCCCTGGCTGCTCCCCGGGCCGATGGAGCACCGGGGCTGCGCTCGGGGGCTGTCGCTGCCGGGCAGCCGCTCCTCCTCCCCGCAGCCGTGCCCTGAGGGGCGGAGGATGAGGAGGGCGAGGAGGATGCCCCGTGCCCGCCGAGCGGCCGGGCTGGCGGCGGCGCCTCCCCCGCACGGCGGCCCCCGCCTCCCCCGCCTCAGCGCCTTAAATGCCTCGGCCGCGGCGGCAACAAAGGCGGGCGGCGGCCGTGAGTGAGGGGCCGGCCGAGGGTCGGCGAGGCGGGGCTGCCGCTGAGTGCCTGAGGGTCGGCGGTGAGTGAGGGCTGAGGGCAGCGGGGCCGGGCTGGGCTGGCCGGGAGCGGCTGAGGGGCGGCGGGCCGGGCTGGCGGTGAAGGAGCCGCCGAGGGTCGGCGATGGGCGAGGCTGAGGCGCCGCGTGAGGGCGGAGGGCCGTGCCCCACCCGGCCCGGCCCGGCCCGGCCCGGCCCGGTCCCGCCGCCCGCGGGGGTCTCGGCTGTGGCGTGAGGCAGCCCCGGGCGTGAGCGGCTCCGGCGGGCAGCGTGCGGCGGAAGAGCGCCAGCTCCGCTGCGGCGTAACTTTTGCTAATTCTTATTGTTTATGTTTATAACCCCATCAGTATAAACTTCTAAGAGCGGCAGATGTGTATGGCGGCTTTGCCGGTCCCTGTCCTGCCGCTCTCCGCGCTCGCCGGGGCTGTGGCGGCACAGGCGCCCCGGGGCTGCGGAGCCCGCCCGGCGGCAGCGCGGAACGAGGATGGGCGGGCATGAGGCAGACCCCGGCCCCTGCCTGCCTCCGGTTTGTGCTCATCCTCGCCCGAATTTGACAGATCTCTGCTGGCCAGGGTCAGCCCGCAGGAACCCGCCAGTTGTAGCAAGGGATTTAATCTGGGAGTAATTTTAGAAGTAGCTGCATTCGTCTCTACTAGCGCACAGCAGGTCAGGCTGCAGAGAGAATAAATAATGTGTGTTTTTTGTGCTGCCGTGTCAGTTTTTCTAGTCTCTGTTCCTGCATTTATGAGCCCCTGGTAAATCAGGGCAGTGGACGGGGACCAGGGGCTGAAGGAGTGGGAACGGCTGCTGCTTTATGCTGTTTCCATATCTGCTTGCTGCAACTGGATCTTATCACGGAGAGTGTCAAAACAGAAATATCTGCAAGGGGAAAGGTGCTGTGGCAGAGCAGCTGGATGTAGCAGGAGATTTTCTTGGCTGTGAGGAAGTGAGAAACCAGAGCTGCCTATTAATGTGTGAGGAATGAGTCTAACTCTCTCTCTCTGACTCCTCCTTTAGTGGCACACTCACACGACTGCACTTGCCTAAATGCTGGTAGCTAACCTGGAATACTTTTTCTGAGCTGGGATAACTTGAAATAGATGGGAGTGCTGTGATGCAAGGCTGCATCATCCTCCTGCTCTCAGAGGGGAGTCAGTGGAAGGAGACCCCAACAGACTGGAGTAAGTGTACATAAGGTGTGCTACTGGGAGGAAAGGGACAGCTTTCTGTCCTCAGCTTTTACTGCAAAAACTGAGTATTGTACTGACCTTGGTAGTGCATCTTGGAAAGTCCTCCTCACCTCCTAGTGTTTAGGACAAAATACACTCATCCCACATATTTCATCACTGGCCTGGGTCACCATGTCAGGGAAGGTTTAGGTGGGGCTCCAAATGCCTGAGGAGCTCATATAGATATGAGGGATGCTAAATCTTCCCCAGGAGGAAGAATATTAACAGGAAAAATCATCCCCAAAAGGCCCCTGGGACAGAGGCCAAGAGTATCTAATGAGGCAGACTTTTCCTGTTAGCTGTGGTTCTTGTGGGAGGGTGAGGGCCTGGGGGGTTGGAGTGAGCCCATGTGGGGATCTCAGAGGGCAGGCAGCCCATCCCCAGATCTGCTCTGCTCTGGGCATCTGATCACCTCACCTGGGCATAAACCTCTGCTCTGGAGGTGATGCAGCTGCTAAGTTGAGACAAATCATCTATTTTCTTCTGGTTCAGCAAATAAATAGGTTTAGGGATGGGCAGCTCTATAGTGCCAAGGTGTGTGCCCTGTCAGTGTTGGGGACAGGACAGCTGTGCAAGGCTGCAGCTCGGCTCCAGAGAAATCCATCCACTGCTTTTCTTCTCTCATTAATGGTTGCTTTCCTTAGGTAAGCTACAGTGGAAGGAGCTGTGTTTTGTGGGTGTAGTGGGAACATTGTGGGGTCCTCTGCCAAAATGTGTGCCTGTGGCAAAAGTGATGCATGGCCTGAAAATGGAGATGCTCACATTAGTGAGCTGCCACATTATTGCTGGAACTGCAGTGCTCAGCTGGGTGTGTATGTGTCTCCTGTTGGCAGCAAATGTGAGGTTAGGTTTCAGAAAAGAGGAATATCTGATCATTTCTACTTAATTCTTGAACACAAAAATATTTGTTGATGTGGCTTTGAGCAGGCTGCCCACTCTGGTGGCTGCTGTTTATGTGCTCTGTCACTTGGTTAAACCCAAAGAGTGGAAATGCAGGTGTCTCATTGTTCATGGAGACCTAGTTTTCTAGGGACAAAATAGGTGAGTACTTAAACCTTGTTTTGCAGTGACTGCTGGCAGAGTCATCTCCTGCAGGAGTGGGAATACATGAGAGGAATTAGAGGTGCCAGGATGAGGTGGGCAGGGGTGGTCTAACACAAGGCAGAGCAGATGCAGCCAGTAACGTTCTGTATCTTAATTGTCCTTGAGACAGTGCTGCGAGAGGAGCTGATGGCTGTGCATGCAGAGCTTTACGCCCCGTGGCTCTGTCGGAGGACAGGTGGGTGCTGAGGGAGCCCTGCACCGAGGGCTGTGTCCCCAACACTCACACAGGCACCTCAAGCACGGCACAGTCACACCCAGCTCCTGTCCTGCCCCGGGCTGGGGGAGCCAGCCAGGGATGGTAATGGGCCAGGTTGTGTTGGCCTTTGCTCTCAGGCTGACTGATATGGAGGATATCATTGAACTTAAGTTCTTTGGCTGCCAGGGCTTCTCCTCCCACCCTTACCCTGTCCATTGGCAGGTTTGGAAGGGCAGAAGTGCTGCTGCAGTCATGATCCTCAGCCCGTTCCACAGGAGAGGTTGGGTGGCATGCACAGCCACCAGTGAAAATGTCGTTTTCCTGTGCTCTACTCAACATTTGTAAAGATCACTGTAATAGGTCTGACAGAATTGTTTTCATGATCTTTTTCAAAGTGTCCAGACCTTTTCTGTAGCCCTCAGATTTTGGAAGAGGGACGTAAATCACAATTCTGCACAGGATTAGCAATCAGAGAGGATGATGAATCAATCTGATACTTTGTCTTAGTCACAGCCCTTCTTAGAACGCTGACCTACATATGACAGCTTTCACTCTAACTGCTTCACCAAGGACAGGCTTTGCTTCCCAGTGTAAGGTGGTCCAGTGGCTGGGCATGTTTGTTTGAAGAACATTCTTGGTGGCTTCAGATGTGCTTGAAGTCTGTGCTGCTTGACTGGGAACTTGTCAGGGAAGTGTGAAATACAAGTGGTTCCTTTGAATGTTCTTTTAATTATAATTATGCTGATAAAAAAAACTAGAAGATGAAATGAGATGCTTTCTGTCTAAAGTGCTGTTAGATGTTGAGCCAGCAGGGATCATTGTTATCAGATTCTCTAATCACTTGTGTGATTAAAAGCCTTGGAAAAACGTACATGTTTGAGCCACTTGCTTGTAAGTAAAAATGAAGGTTTAATGCCTTTCTGAATGTGTGCTGTAGCTCAGCCTTTGGTGAGCTGTGAACCCAAAGCTTCTGTAAAATCCCTCCCGGTGGGTCACTGATGGCACTGAATATGGATGCACATCTGCTGGTTCCACTTGCAGATGAGTTTTCCTGCTGATTCCCAGAGCACCGAGGTGAAAGATGATGAAAAGGAGAGTCCAGAACCGTGTCTGCAAAGCAGTGACTTGGCTGATTTAAGGCAGAACTTAAGCCCATTTCTACCTGTCATTAGGATTCCAGCTCTGCAGGACAGAGTCTTTGGTTTGAAGGATGCTGGGAAGCAATGAGAAATGCATGTACTGGTGTGTGTGTGCTTCCCAGCACGTACCAGTAGCGTGGGCCATGGTGAAGTCCTCCCAGGTGAAGTGTGTGTGTTCAGCAGCATGTTCACATGCAGATCCTGGGTATGGAGTGTAATTTGGTTCTGTGGGTGTCCAGGAGCTCTTCTGAGAAAGCAGAACAGAGGAGGTCTGCCCTGTAGTTTTTTGTCTCAGCAGGTTCCAAGTGGCGCCTTTGCCTAGCTGGGGTTTGCTGGTCCCTCTGCAGTATTTGGAAGGTGGTGCATTTGCCTGGGATGTTGGCTTGGGATGTTTCTGAAATTAAGAGCTCTGCCACCAAGTCATCCAGTGGTCTTCGAGGTTTGCTTGTGGTGTGTTGCTCACAAGTTTCAAACAGAGGTTGGTGTGGAAAGATGCAGCACAGCATCTTTCAGTTTTTATTCTATAAATAGCTAAAATAAAAAGGTCTGTTTGTGAGATTGGAAACATTGCAAATAATACCTCACCTTCTAACATTATGCTGAAGTTCAGAGAGGCCTCTGCTTTTCTACCTTGACTCCTGTGCCTGGGAATGGTTTGTCTGTACAGGCAGAAAGGAGCCAGACTGTGCTAACGTTTCTCTGTGCTCCTGATGTGTGTTAGCTCTGGGAACTGGCAGCTGCTGAAAATGAGCTGAGCAAAGCTGCTCCTGGTACCTCAGTGCTGCTGAGGCAGTGGAGAGCCCGAATGCCCCAGCACAGGATGCCAGTCTGTCTGGCTGTGCATGCCACACTGATCCCTGGGCACTGGCAGGCAGGTTTGTCACAGAGCCCAGCTTGTGCCTGGGACTCCCGGGGCTGGTGGAAACTGGAAACGAGCTAATGCTCCCTTCTTTAATATTGCATCCACTGTGCCTACAGTGGCTGCAGCAGTTTGGATTTTCAGCTGTAAAATTTTGCAGAAAAATAAGAGTTGTTGACAGCAGTGATTAATTTTTTAATATCCATTGCAGCTTGCCCTTTGTGACTTTGTGGTACAGTGTTTGCTGATTAGGAAATCAGAGGGGTTCCAATCGACCTGACTGTGTTCAATGGATTTTCTGCAAGTACCCTGTGTGTGCCAGCAGAGTCCCCCATGTGTGGGGAGAGTGTGGTGACCCTCACTGGGATGGAATGGCAATAGAAAATGCCATGGCAGTTGTGCAGCAATGACAGCTTTCTCAAATGGATCTCCTGGGCACTAAAAGACATCTGTGGTCCTGGTTTCCCCCTGGTAATCTCAAGGACCTGCTTTACCT